AGTCTCAAATGTTTATGAAAAGTGAGGACCATGCAATGCTTCATTTATGAATGTTTATGTAAACATCACATTTTAGCACCAACCATATTTAAAGCATCCCTACTCTTCTGGTACTTACATTTGTATGCATATGAATCTGCAATTATGCAATATCTTATTTGGTCGCTCACTAAGTGGTTTGTTCAATAGATTGATCGTCACATAAAATCAAACTTTGACCCTAACTTGTTGTTCTACACACATGCAAATTTAAATTTGTATATCATCGTTACTATTCTGACTCTTTCAAATGTCAACTATTAAATTTTAATGCGATTTTCAGGTATTATTCCATCTCAAGCTGGGTGGAACAAAGGTGACTCACAAAAGTTAATGACCAATTTCGGCACACCACGAAATACTCAAACTAGAGTGAAGTCCGAAAACCTTGCGGTATATTCTTTTGATTTGATTTTAAACGATGAAATTTCTTAGCAATTACAATGATTCGGATAATGATAAATTGGATTTTTGATTTTTTTCTTTTTTTCGAAAACTCTGAAAAAAGCTGCTTTTTAGAGAAATATATTTCAAAATGAAATTAATTCACAGGAAATACCGGAGGAAATTCTGATGAGAACTCACGGTGAGGTTCGCTTGCAATCTGGTACGAACAAATTCGATTCACAACGAGGTATGACTGGTTTCGGCACCGGTCGTGATGTTTGTCGAGAAGGTGTTCATGTCAATCAAGCACCCTCAGATCTGCAGGTTCGTTCATCTTTTTTTTTTTTGCTTATTTTTATGCACATAATTTGATATCCACTCGGTTTTTTTTTAATGCAACGAGGTTTCGTTGAGTGTAATTAAATGATCTGTATACTGAAAAATTAAAATTTCAGCCGCTTGAAGAAGAAAAGATCCGTCTCAGCGATGGTATTGTACGTTTGCAAGCCGGTACTAACAAATATGATTCACAAAAAGTAATTTATTCTAATTTATTTAATAAAGGTTTGCTTAAAAAAATGAAAATACTGACTTTTTCAGAAATTATTTTCAACAAATGTAAACAATTAATTTTTTATTTAACTGACTAGTAATAATGCTTTTTATTTTTTAATTTTGTTCATTCATTTTCTTAGATATTTGTATTTGTAGGGTATGACAGGTTTTGGTACAGCTAGACGTGAAACAACAAAAATGAAAGACTCAAGACATCCTGAATACGACCACGAACATCCTGATCAATCTGAAATTCCACTTCAGGCTGGTACTAACAAATTTGCTTCGCAGAAGGTAACTTTTTATCAGTTCTCTCTGATAGTAATAAGTCTTTTAGCACAACTAATAGGCACAGTTAGAGCGACTAATGTTGTAAAGTTGGATTTTTCGACTGATTAGAAGATTTTGAAATGCCGTAAAGTTCTTAAGTAACTTATTCTTTCCATTGGTATTGACATTTTTATGGTCCAAAATTTTTATAAAAACAGTTTAACATTTTGCAATTAGACAAAATGTTCCTTTTTTTTGGACCAAAAAGTAGAAATTGCAGCCGTTGATTTTTAGGGAATGACTGGATTTGGCACATCACGACGTGAAACGACAAAAATTCGAGATTCTGCTCATCCTGAATACGATCCGGAGAGTAGCATTGATTCCTCGACAATCCCTAGCCAGATGGGCAGTAACAAATATGCTTCTCAGAAGGGTATGACTGGTTTCGGGCAACCACGTTGGGAGGTATTCGATTGATCTATACTTTATTTACTTATAAATTATTTGATGAGGTGTTTTGAAATAGCGGAAGAAATTCCAGGTCTTGGATCCGTCAATCTCATGGCAGAATCGCAAAAGTCAAGGAATGGTTCGTTTACAGTCGGGTACTAATCGGTAAGTTTAGATTTTAGTTTCTTGCTTTGAAGAAAGAAGATACGAGAAAAAAGCGAAAGAAATTCAGTCTTACTTCTCTAGATTTGCATCACAACAAGGTATGACCGGTTTCGGTACACCACGTAATACGACTTATGAAGCAGAAGCTGGTGAATTGCCTTATGAGGATATGAAGAAGTCAGAAACAGTAATTCCATCGCAAGCTGGTTGGAACAGAGGCGATTCTCAGAAGGTAAATTTGCTTGAATAAAATTAAATTCATGTATTAATAAAGAAAATACCATTTCACTTAGGAACTTTTGAAATTTATCAATGAGATCATTGACGTCTGTAAATCATTTCTAAATTTTATGTGACATTTTGGAAGAAGTGTGATGATGAATGAATGATTTTATATATTTTTCGGATAATTTCTGAAAATTCTGTTTCAGGGTATGACTGGATTTGGTGCACCACGTGACGTAAAAGGCAAACATTTGAAGCGTATCTGGGAATTGGAATATCCGGAAGAAGCAGAAGCTTCACTTGATCGACTTTAGATTTCAGTCCTTTCCTACTCCGGAAATTCCTTATTCCGTGCTGATTCCTGTTTTACAATCTACTAAACTTAAAAATGCATTTATCAATTAATTTTGTCTGAAAATAAGATAAGTCAGTTGATATTATTCCTGAATTCTTGTATATGTGGTACCGGGCATTATTTTTATTCTCTGTTCTCCCATCTCTTTTATCTTTTGCACTGAATTTTGAATCCTAAATTTGATATGATTTAACTTGAATGATAATATGTCATTGAAGAGGCATTTCAACAATTTAAGACAGCTGTATAGAATTTCAAATTTTTGGAAAAATTCAATTTCTAGCACCGAAAATTTGCGAACTGCCAAAATTTTCGAATTTCCGAATCTTTCAGCTTTTTCGTTTTTTTTGAAATTTTTATGAAAGAAAATTTATGTTTTATATGCAATTGCGCTTTTAATTTCTTTCTTCCTTTTTTTTTTTGGCAATGATTTATGCTATTTTTTCTTTATTACGATGGATTGACTTATTAAAATTTAATTTGTGAACTTTTAATATTCCCTGTATAGCAAACGATATATCTAAGCGTTATTTATTCAGTCATAGAAAACTTTGCAAAATCTGTCTTCTATTCCCGGAAAACTGTATATTCTAATGTGCTGCAATAATGATTTTATCATATTTGCTTCTATTAATGGTAATATGATATATTGTATGACATGGCATGGTATATGGTATGGTATGGTATGATATGATATGATATGATATGAGATGGATGTTGATGCCACCTTTAAATGCGTTGTATTTTTGGAATGAGAGATCCTCTATTTCTACAAGAAAGCTGCCTAAATGTTAATACAATGACTTGACTTGCATTGTTTTATTCTTATGCCGAATTCTCGTATCGCGATATTATTGTCTCTGTTGCTATTATTACGATTTGTCTTATTAGTACAGACTTTAATGCTTATAATTTATATTATCATCTATGCGACATTTCCAATAGTTTAAGCGAAAAAAGCATAGAATTTGCTGTGACATGCGGAAAATGCAGCGACATCTTATTTCATTCGCATGCAAAGCTGCTTGTTAGGAATTTGTCTCTTATAAACATTGTAACGGCTTTATAAGCTGTGCAAAGATATCTATGAATTTTAATGTTACAACTTTGTTGGTTGAACGGTTGAGTCGACTGAAAAATTAAAAAGATTAAGAGCGATGGAAGATTAGAGTTATTCAATTCAAAAGAAGAAGAGGAAATTGTTCTCTGGATATTGCATTTCATCCGGAATACCAATTAACCTTCTCATTAACAAATTATGCTTTAACTGTGTAACGTTAATCTCTTTTGCCAATAATTATACAAATACAAGTTAATTAAACTATGGCTTTATCATAACTTTCTAACAGTATGCTTGTGGGATGGTTTTACTGAAATGTCAACAATCTTATCAGCGGTTGGATTATTCACATTCATTGATAAAACGGCATCGCATAATCATTAACAGTCAAATGTGACAAAGAAATATCATGTGGCTAGCAGTGGGACTTCAAGTACTTTGTTCTCATCAAGATATTAGCATTTTCGCTAAGCATTCTTATCCCTGCACTGTATGATATTTTGTAGGAATTTAGTTTAGCAGACATTTCATTTCACAACTCTTACACTCAGATACGTTGCAGATTAGAAGCTTTGCATATTTCGCTAATAATATTCCTCTCATATTCTTTTTTCAGCACCACAGAAATTTTTTTTAATAGTTCTTACTTTATAAGCCACAGATATTAACGTTCAGCTGTACAATTTTCATCCCAAAAAGAATAGAAATAAACTGAAATTATCATTGGATTATTAACATACGCTGCGAACATGAAATTTTCATTTTTATGCTTTCTACAATTTTTCTTGTAATATTTTGTGCAAATGTTTATTAATTACTAATTAGTGGGAAGCTGAGTGTAATAAACAACTAAATGAAACAGTACGTGGTCTTGAATGCAGTAAGTCTCTCTTCCACAAGTTTTGTCAGATGAAAAGACCAAAGATGACAAAAAGTACCTATAGTTTGCAGAACTGCTTTTCGTTTAATATTCATTGATATCTTTAACATCACCGATTATCTGTTATGTCAGCAAAGTGAAAACTCAATTTTATTTGCAAATAAACGACAAAATTATTTTGAAGCAGTCCTTTTTAGCCTGTTATTTGGTTAAAAAAAGTGGGAGAAATTAAAATGCTATTATTAGCAACAATTTATACTTTTTTTAGTAACCAGCAATTTACCTGACTATCTGTCACCGTTATATTGTTTTAAAAGAAATAACGGAGTGAAAAGTCTATCACTCTGCTTCACCTTCTTTTTTAAAGAGCTCATCTCATCGAGTAATAGCAACAACAGTTATATTTTGTAAAGAGCTAAGAGTTTAAGCTCTGCCCCTTGGAGAGTCAGGTGAGCTAGAGGCGAGGTAGGGTACCTTTATAACATTTTCCCAAGCCATCAGCAATATATCCATCCGCTCCGCTCTACCGTTCGCACTGATCAACGAACGGATCATTAGTTACTATTGTAGTGCTACCAATACTGCGGATCTTCTCTTGAATTTCAAACCATATGGCTAACACTACAGCGCCCACTTCATGTTGGTTCCACTTTTTTGTAATATGGAAGAGCTCTCGATTATTTGAGCGCGGTTACCGGGAAACATTCCATCTTTGTTTGGTAGATAAATCTTGAAAATCATTTATATTGATTTCTAATTTTTGATAAACTCTTTTTAATTTATTCCTTTTGAATAATTAATCAAATTTGAATATTACTTGACACGCTTTTCCAAAACTTCTTATTAGCTATTGATTTAAAATTTCACTTCTTTAAAAAAAAAATAAAGTAAATTTTCGTTTTAAATGTAGAACTAATCATCGCATTCAGTGATTTATTGCAGTAATCAATGAAGGTGACTTGAAGATTGCTCGTGTAGAAGCACCGGCCACGGAAGAAAATGAACGGCGTACACGTAACGGTAAATTTACTCTCGGACAATTGCGACAGACTGATGGTTTGGTACCGCTACAATCGGGAACAAATCAATTCGATTCACAAAAAGTTAGCTTGTCTATCATAACTGTTCCATCCTTTTTTCTCTTGATTTAAATTCAAATGATAAAGGAAGGAAAAAGTTTTGAAATTTGTTCTCTGTGAGTTCCTTATTTCTTACAGATTAAAGCAACTGACAAAAGCAGGAGAAATAGTTGAAAGATTAATATCATCGTTATGCGTTGACTCATATATCTGAAGTCGAACCACTGGCATTTTTCCTCTTTTCGTCATTTACATCTTGTGTTGAGTTTTGCATGTGAATTACCAGTATTTAGAATCCTTTTTGACACTGCAAATAAGAATTTTTTAGTAAATCTTTCTTAAAAAACTTCACTTATTATTATTATAATGCAAGCAATTCTTATAAAACTTTTCTGAAAGGTTTATTGAAGGATTTTGTGAACTTCTGTGTTCCCACACAACTTTTATTATTTCGTTGTTCAAAAAAGTGTAAAATGCTGAGAAATGTTTAGTATTCTAATGAAATCGGCATGTTTGAAAGACAATTAAATCTTTAAAAATTCCCTGAAATTCGAAAATCCATGAAATAAACAAAAGCTCTATCCTCATGATAAATATATGGTCATTATCCATAAATTTCGGAGAATTTCAGACTTTATTACTGCTTTCGTTGACCAATCCGACTCATTTCTCATGCATTGAATCGGACTGAATCAGTAATCAGTATAATAGGAGCATTCATTTTTTTTCTTGTCACTACAGCAACATTACATTCCTTCATTATTGTGAAATTATAATAGTTGGTAAGGTAGTGTTGATAAGAGGTAAATAAGCAACAGATTTTTATGTATGATAACTCGAACCAAGAAAAAAATTAAAATGTATATCGAAATATACAATACTAAAGCTTTTTTAATCAAAATATCATCTTCTAATTTTGTTTTTTTTTTTTTTTTTTTTTTTTGATATCCTGTGAACGTTTAAGCTTACTATCCAATCAAAGTTTTTAATAGTGAGTATGGAAAGAAATAAGCATTAATGCATCATTATTGATCTAATAAATTTGTTTTTACTGATTAAACAAATTTAGTTCCAATTGTCACATAGATGTCTCACGAAAATAAGAGCGATTAAAATATTATAAGCTGGTTGATGTTATAATGACTGCAGTTTATTGATTGCACCTGCAGTTTGCTCGGCTAACAGTTCGCAAAGAAATAGTAACCGTGATGACAAAGAATTCACTTCTATACATTGAACTTAAGTTACACTTATTGGAAATACCGCACAGAAAAAATGCGATTCAATCTTATCAGCATATTGTTTAATGTTTGTGAATTTGCAGGGTAAAACAGGTTTTGGTATGCCTCGTAATACTGCTCTTAACGTGCAATTTGCTGACGACGGCAAAAAATGGACAATTGAAAAACTGAGAGCTACCGATTCAATCATTCGATTACAATCTGGAACTAACAAATATGATTCACAGGTAAATCCATCCAGGTTGCAATTGTGGGAAAAAAGGTAGCATGTTGGCTATATATGACGATATATTTCCAGAGAGGAATGACTGGATTCGGAACACCTCGTGATGTTCGAGGTAAACATTTAAAACGAATATGGGAATTAGAGTTCCCAGAACAGACAGTGAAAGAAATCCTGCAAATAAATCATGTAAATACAGCACTACAAAATTCTTCCAAAAAACCGCCAGCTACACCACCGAAACCAATTCTTCATTAAATTTTAATTGCTGCAGTGTTATGTGAATAAAAAATAGGCTGCAAATATAGTTCTGTCCCGAACTCGTAAATATTTAAGTTTGAGAGTAAAAAGGTAAGTAAATAAACAGTGAATCTATTTAATTAACAAATTCCTAGTTGATTAAACATTATTTCAAAAACACTTCTGCTTTTTTTTCAACACTTAAAAAGTGAGAGCTTAAGAATTTAATGTATAATTTAGTTCAATCGAAAATATGAATTTCACCGGTATGCTATCATTTCCAGTGTAAATGAACCATTTCTTAATTGCACATATGATTATTGTCAAAATGATAAGTGACATTAAAATTTTAATAAACACAGCTAATTGAATTGTTTATTAAACATTGCTTTGTACCAAATTAACAGATAAAAGCATAAATGAAACAGTCTTTTCAAGTCGAAAAGAAAAGATGCTCATATAAGTCAAAGCTTTTTTCCGCTTCGAAGAGTTATTTCGTCAATTTTGTTATACAAAAATGGTATAAATGAACGCACTCTTCGAAAGAGCTAGATAATGAATAAGATCTGAATAAGGATAGAAGCCAGACCGAATCATCAGAAGTTTGCTAGTCTTGTCTTCCATAACCTTTGAAGATTTCCCCACAAAGGTGCGTTTTGTTATCATTGAATGACAAACTCTCATAGTTCGTTTCAGTAAGGGAAAAGAGAATGGCAAAAGAATACATTCGCTTAATCTATTCTGCGAATCGGATCAGTGAACTTCTGATAAAAAGATAAACAAACTCGATTTACTGACATCTTTATTTCGATCACAAATTAGGTTAAATAGTATTTAAATGTCATTATTTAGAAAATTTCTTACAATCTTCGCTTCAACAGAACCATTAGGAACAGAAGTGAACAGAAAGTTAAGATCAACTAGCTGGTGAATGTTCCACGATCATTCTGGAATTTGAAGACATTCCTAGAACCTCATCCAATAAATTAAATTGATTAAAATGCTTTAATGGTTTCAAAGACTGTACATATGATAAATTGTGTGATCTAGAAAACAAGTCTAGAAAAGTCTAAAAAAGGTGAAGTATGGAGTGCGGATGAAAGTTTTTTAAAGTTTTTTTGAAATCCTTTTGAAAACATTCGGGCAAAAAGACTTGTTAGGGGTATGGTGCGAATTGTTTGAAGACTAAAATAGAGCGGATTGCCGAAACATAAATGCAAGCTTTCCAAACGATTAATTGATGATAAAAAGAGAAAATGCTTCTTCATTTCCCTGTGAAGTATCACAAAATGCAGTAAAAAAAACTTTTTTCTACATTTATTTCTTTCTATAACTTTCCATAGCATTCATTCTATCCCACTTTAATAATACTTTATTTGATCTGTTTCATTTTCGAAAATAGTTCTGTGAATTGTTATAAAACAATGACCTAAATCCTAAATGGTTTTGCATATTTCCAACACACTGATATGTTTGCTTCCCTCCGTCCTATACTTCATTTGTTGACCTTTGATCCCTACTTAGGCTCAGTTACATCTTTTCTTCCACTATTTACTTTCTTACTCTTTATGCAGAAGCGGTAGTTGCTGAATAGATCTGAAAGGTTCACGAAACATACCTCCGAAAGTCTCAATTAGGTGACAGACCGAGAACACCCAGCAGAAAGCAACATGCAACGTGAAATAAAAGTGGAGGTAGAGATGAACGAACATCAAAAAGGTCATTCGATGGTCTCTAACTGTAAATAACATAACGAAATGACCAGGAACGGACACTGTCACACATGTCCGACACAGAGTAACTGTGAAGTGTAGATGCTCGGCCACCACGTAATCAGTACTAACACTTCCACGAAAGCAATATTACGTTGCAACTGTGTGGAGAAGTCTCGCTTGGGTCGATTGCATTCATCATCAGAGGTCATAAGATGAGAGAGAGCTAGGAGGACGAGTAGGGAGAGGGACGGAGGGGAGGGTTTCAAGAGGATTGACTGGGTGTTTCCGGTGATTGAATTAAGTTAAGCATTGTGTTTGTGGTTTATAATTTTTATCATTATTTTTTAGGAAGTCGACCAACGAGTGGTAGGACCATTCCAATGATGTCGCGACGCTGTCGCATACAGGTGGGATCCGTTGATGGATTTACATGAAAACCGTCTCCTTCATTTACATTTTCATTTTAAATAAGTGCTAGATCAGAACTATGGAAAGAAATTAATGACATGGAGCGACGAGAAGTATCCCATCAAAACCGAGACCTGCTTCTCCAATTAAAGCAATTGCTATTATAAACCATAGTACTGATACCGCAAGTGTATTAGTTCGATCAAGGATTCATTCATTTGAATAAAGTGTTTTTTTTTTCTTTTTTTTTTTTGCAGGCACGTCCAAATGTAACCGGTGGATCGAAGAAAAATATCCCAACAAAACTAACATCTGCTTCGCCAATTAAATCGAAATCAGATGATGTATTGCCACCATTCACCACAGAAGAAAAGAATATATTGGAAAAAAATATCTTAGGGAGAATTGCTGTTGATGTCCATGAACTGCAATTCATACCCGCTATATCCGAATCGATTTCAAAAGAAAATGGATTAGATAAAACTGGAACAAACACACCAACAGGTAAGAAATTGCATTATTTAGTATGTTCAACGAAATCAGTTAAACTAATTTTCGTGATAGATTCATCAACAAAATCAAATTAGTGTGGGATTATATAGAAAATTTGCTGGAATGTAAGAGAAGGTGATACTCTTTCCCTTGTCGACGTGTTTCGATAATTGATCTTTTCTTTACATGAAAAGACATGTTTCAGTAAAATAATAGACTGTTTACTATTAAAGTATTTGGTTGAAATCCTACGTTATGGGAATTCACTAGTTTTAGATCGAAAAATCAGGATTTTTATATTTCTAGATAAGAGTTCACTCGTTAGCGACTGTGCAACTGAATCACTGACACTTTTAAAATCAGCTCAGTTTATTCATAAGTTCCACAGCAATTTTCCTTCTAAATCACCTAGATCACATTCGCCATTAAAATCGCCAGTCAGTGCTGCAGGTCACATGTAAGTTTTTTACTTGGTTTGCCGGTGTTTTTCGAAAAATCCGCAGAATATTAACTGACATTGTTCAGCACCTTCGTTTTCTTGGTGATTAAAATAATAGACTGTTTACTCCTTAAACCCAGCATATATATATATATATATATATATATATGGATTTGGGAACGGATTCGATCCCTTAAGTCACATTAGATTTCATGATTAAAAAATCTTCAGCGCTTTATCTGGAACTGAACAACTGTTTGCGCAGCATTCAAGAACTGCATCTTCTGTTTCCCCTACGAAGAACGATTACCCACCGAAAGTGAGGTATATGAATTAGAATATTGTTTGTACGAATTTTAGATACTTTTTTCGCTGCTTTGAATACTTGATTGATTTCTTATGTATAAATATATACGAGTGTTGTGTTTCAGGAAGAAATTTACCGGCAGTGAACCCTTAGATCCAAAAACAATGACTATGCAAGATTTAATTTTCTGGAATCCGAAGAACGAGAAGGTAGCTTCAGTGTTTTCATTCATCTGCTAATGCCTTTCGTTTTCATTACTTATCATGTTGTTTTCATTTCTTTTTTTTTTTTTCTCTGCATGTTGCGACTAGTGACCTCTCAACTCTTCCATAGTTGTTGTTGTTTATTATAGAGGCTTCATGAAGATTCTCGAAAGAAAAGAAAAAACAGTGTAACAGATTTGGAAATTATGAAAAAAATTGATGTTGAAAACAAGCAAAAAAGGAGTGAAAAGCTAGCTTTTGCTGCTCCGCAGGTAATTAGTTTAGTTCTTTCTCAGATTTCTGTTTTATGAAATTAGGATATATTGTTGGAAGCACCTTCTATATTTTCAGTGGGTGGTTTTTCCAGGTCAAAATAGCAGCCGATGGTTCCCTGATTCTTGATGAATCGAGTTTGACGATTACGAATGAAAATGATTCCAGTGTTTGGGAAACTGTAGAAGAAGTGTGTTACACGATGTTTATTCTTAAAGAAAATAGTTTCACAATCTATAAGAATCAGCAAATTTTTGAAAAGAAAGATAGAGAGCAATTCTTTTAGACATATGAATAAATTTTAGAGTTGCTCTGGAATCCTACGTAAAAAGAAATTAGGAGATTCCAATGCTGGCATATTATTGATCTTCATGTTTATCTTATTAAATAACTTTTGAAGCAGATCTCTTTCTTAGAAATAGAATTTTCACCTTTATTATTTTTTATAGGATCGTTCAAACAAAAAACTTAATTCAATGAGTTTTCGAAAAAGGCCGTTCTGCCGGGGCAATCCATGGAGTGAATTAGAAACAGATCTTTTTTATGACATTTTAAGGTAACTCTTTCATTTGATTCTAAAGTAATCTCATCCTATAATCAAATAATTGCATTAATTATATTAACCTCTCATTTTTAGCGAAGCGTCTTTTTATACAGCTTTATCCTTAATGCTGTTATTTTAGAGCTACAGGTCCAGATTTTGGATTGATGCATGAGTTCTTTCCATCTCGAACGCGAGTAGAATTAAAAGCCAAATATAACCGTGAAGAAAGATTCAATTGGACTCGATTAAATCAGGTATTTATTCTGGCTACGACCCGGATTTATGCGAGGTTGAGTTTCTTTTTCCAAATGAATAGGCAGTTATTTAAAAAAAGTTTCAGGCTATGGCTGTTCCAACTTTGTTGTCCGACGCTTTATATTCGCATGCAAATGAAATCATCGATAGGATTAAAGAAAAAGAGATCAAGAAGAAGGATTTAAAACTGCTGAAAAAGAATAGCGCGTTTAGTGATACAAGCGAAGTAGTCGCAGTAAACCTTAATTATTCTTAGTCCGTGTATATTTAAAGAGTTTCAAATTTCTTTGGATTTGCAGTTGGCTGAGTTTAGTTTTTCATACTCATTGGATCAGTTATGTTTTACGAATATGTTTATTTTTGTGTAAGATTTGAAAATCTTTTCAAGGTTGATTGGAATGAAGAAGAAGCTGATTTGGAAGCGGAAGCTGAGGAAGCTATTTTGAGGCTGTTAGAAGATGAGTGAGTTATTCTGTCCTATTTGAGATTTTGATGAATGGAATAGTTCATACTAGTGGAAATTTTGCAGGGAACAACTCAGTGGTTCGTCTGAGAAAAAGTCACGCAAGCAGAAGATAGTTGCTCAAAAGAAAATGAAGGATGCTTTGCTAGATGAAGTTGCGGAAGAGGCTGTCTTAGTGTTGAGAGGAAAGAAATATGAAAGAAGAAAAGATGAACTAAAGAAAATATGTGAAACAGCATTATGTATGTTTTCAGTTCTGAACTATATCGAATTTACTTGAAAATTTTTTATTGCTATGAGCGTTACAAATAATTGTGACAAAAATCCTTTTTATAACATATTTAGAAAAATTTTCAGGTAAACTTGGCGAAGATTTCCCGAAGTTTGGAATTTTAATTGATGAAAATGCCGATGGTGTAACGATAGAAACAGGTGCAAGCTCAGAAGGCCCACCAATTGTTAGGATACCTCTGGGAACTATTCCTAGAGTGTTACCTGTTGATGAGAAGCATCCACAACGAGTGTTTTTTGATTGCTGTGGTAAACAAAACATGGCGGCACGACAGTACGTCATACAGCATCAAATGGGTCCTGGAGAACCGACGACTGGTTATCTTCATCTTTTTGGAAGTACGCCTTAACACCAAAAATTTTGTATGATCTTTTTTCTGTGATATTTGTCGAATTATCCTATAAAGATCTTTTTATTTCGGTAATGATGAATTGCATCAGAACTGTCGAATATATGATTTCATTCTTCTAATTTCTACATAAATATCTGTTTTCTTTTTTAACTGTAATGCTTGCTTCGTTGAAGTTTTTTTTTTTAAAAAAACTTTTTTTGACTACGTATAATGTGAATGTGACACTTTGGGATCTTTAGAAATGAAAGGCGTATGTTACAGCTTTTTCACATTTCACATATATGTGTACATTTCAATGTTTTTAATGCTTGAGCTTTAAGCATTTGTGAATTACAAATAATTTTTTGTTCCTGCAAGTCGATATTGCAAATATATTATCTTTGCACTTAGTGTCAGTTATACTGTATAAGATTAGGTTTGCAAATATCAATATTGAAATGTTGTCAGCTTATAATATTTAATTTATACGTCTTCGTCTATCCGTCACCTGAATTTTGGACTTTGGATTGCCGCTTTAAAATTTTCTGTTCCTTTCTTGGAGTAGAATTATTTCAGTAATGCTATTAATGAAGTAAAAAGAAAGCACGTCTTATATTCTTTTTGAATCCGAAGTAAATTTTTTTTTTTATCTTGGCGAGATTCGTTACTTATAGCTCGTTGGAGGAACTCATTTGCTGATAAATTTTAATGAAAATCAAAAATGTGATTCGATGAATACTTTTTTGTTAGCCAGGAAGTATTTTCATTGGCAGTCTATTTTGTCGTAGCCCATGGATTTCTCTTCGGTCATTTATTGTAATTAATTTGTAATTAAAAGTGATGTTTTTTAAAATACAAATCCGTGTGATGTTTCATATTCTGATCTATCAAAAGTTCGGAATTGCCCTTAATACTGCATTTAGGCGCGATCTCTTGTAAATGCGAATGCACCTGTTGGGGGTGGGGTATTGCCTCATGTGACAGGTATTCTCCCTTGGACTTTGAAATCTCGAGCACTCCGCAAGGACCACTCTAAACTTCATCCCACATCACTGCCCCGTGCGGGGCGTTCAAAAATTGCCTACAGCATCCATTTTTCAGGAGCTGCGGCGGGCAATTGGGTGAAAGTTTTCAACCAGCAATAAACGCACCTCGGCTAAGCCTCATTGGTCACGTTATCGCCACTGCGCAAAGCTGACATCACCATCCAGTGATGGTGGTCATATTGGATAGTAGTCAATGGCAAGTGGAATGGTGGGAAGGAAAGGCGAGCAGAGAAAGAAGGGGAAATAGCATGGCTTATTGATAGACATTAGAGAGTGGGAGATGAATTTTCCAAAATTTATAACGTAAGATGCATTGCATTATTGTGGTTTATTTCTTGGTGACAGTTAGAACTAGATGAGTGGGAAAGGGATGCTCATTATTGAGCACTAAGTATAACAGTTTCGAGTAAGTTAATGGCATGGATGACATGATGTGACGATGACTCATACGGCATTTAATAAGGTGCAAGGATGAGTCGTAAAGAAAATAGAGTGGTTACGGGAGGTTTTGATTGTGCACCGAACGCTTTCATGGGAAATCTTCTTGGATGCATGCCAGGTTGCCATGTCAACTATAGCACAGTTTTGATTTATCCGTTTATCACTGTTGTTCATCTCTCCACTCATTTCCGGAACTAACTCCCATAATTTGTTTTTAATTGATTCCCGAGTTAAATTACCACTATGAATTTGTTAGATTTTATGTTAATTTCCAGCACTGTTTGCAGATCATTTTGGTTACTATAAAAGGACCGCAGTTGGTTCAACATGGCAACAGTAGTAGAAATGACTATCGAAAAAATTGATGAAGTGAAGTCTCGGCTAGGAAGGTATGTTATTACGTTCGATACTTCATTAATTTGTTGTTTTACTAATGAAAGCGATCTGTTTGGTATTATCTTCACCAAAAAAAAAGTAGAAATAATAAAATTTGCGAGAATAGAATAAGATGAAGTATGTCATAGATGATGTACGTATGCTGTGTGTAATAAGATTTAATCGTGAAGTAGGATAGTGTGCAACATAAGTTTGCAGTGGGTAAGATGTGTCCATATATATGAGACAGATGTATGCGGAACTTAGAAAGACTATTAAGATGTGAAGTTTAAATCTACGCCAAAATCTTACTTAGGAAATAAAAAAGATTAGTTTTAATTTCCGGAGGAAATTTTTGACAATTTCAGAATATTATTAAAGAAGGATAATCTTTTTGTATCACTTCATTCATTGCTATAGATCCTTGGGAACACCGATGCGGTTGCGGGATTTGATACGACAGGTACGAGCAGCTCGTACGATGGCTGAGGAGCGGGCCGTCGTTGATCGAGAAAGTGCAAACATTCGAGAGACATTTCGCGATGATGATAGTCCATGGAAATGCAGAAATATTGCAAAACTGTTGTATATACATATGCTGGGTTATCCAGCTCATTTTGGACAGGTAAGTACTACACTTCGCTATCCCCACCTTTAATTTTGTTTTAGTGAGATTGTTGCTATGCATCCTTTATTCAGATAGTGAAGAAATGAATTTTATGTTTTGAACCTAACATCAAAATCTACGGCATTTTTTCTTCTCTGTGCTACTTAGTACTTCCACTGTCATTTAAGTAACATATATGCTTTCAATGTTTGTCTATCCATTCTGAATATATATAGCGAAATAGAACTAAACAAGGGGACCCAAATTTCATCGTTTTTATCTCACTAAATTCTGTAACTTCATAATTACTCCACAGATGGAATGTATGAAATTAGTTGCGCAACCAAGATACACCGATAAGCGCATTGGCTATCTAGGTGCTATGTTATTGTTGGACGAACGTTCGGAAGTTCATCTCCTGGTTACTAATTCTTTGAAAAAGTAATTCTAAAGTTATATTAAATGTGTAACATTACTTTCCCTAGCTACTTTCATTTTTTTTGCATTGTGCATTCTGTTTCTCATACATTCCCAATTATTAGTAATGAAAATTTCTGGTTCCATTTTATGTCTCTGTTTTAGTGATCTGAATGCTTCAACACAATTCGTAACAGGTCTTGCTCTTTGCACATTAGGCTCAATTTGTTCGTCGGAGATGTGTCGTGATTTGGCCAGTGAAGTTGAAAGACTAATTAAATCCAGTAATACGTATATTAAAAAAAAGGTAAGCTCGTGTTATGATTCAGAATTAGAAAATGTCCAGTTCAGAATTAGAAAATGTCCAGTAATTGTGGGAACTTAGGAAAGTAAAGAATTCGAGATAAGTTTTACTTTAATCTGTTGCCTACAATCTTTATGGGATACTCTAAATTGAAGGCTGGACTGACTACATTTGGGAATTCTATAGTGAACTATTTAACGAAAAATATCTTGAATTGGTATAAATTGAAGTATAACATATTCGGTGCGAACTTAGTATTGAACATAAAATTATGCTTTGATTGTCCAAGACATTTTTATTAAATATCATGTTGAGTTAAAATATTTTGCAAAGATCTATTTAGGCAGCTTTGTGTGCTTTCCGAATCGTAAAAAAAGTGCCGGAACTTATGGAAATGTTCATCTCATGTACAAAATCATTAATCAGTGAAAAGAATCATGGTGAGATCCTTACGGCGCAGTTGCTTAGTTTCATGACATAAAATAAAAATTTTGAAAAAACTTAGCCAATGAATTTCTGTTTTTCAGCTGTTTTATGATTATTAATTCCTATTTGTCGAAAAACTCTGTGGTTCCACGCTTTTATTTGATTAGTAGTTTGAAAAAAATGACAGCTTGAAGAAAACTTAAAACGAATAATATTGAATAAATGTTATAACTAATATCCTTATCTTTATAAATTTCTAGGAGTGTTAATTGGTGGTATAACGCTTGTTAGTGAAATGTGTGAGAAAAGCCCTGATGTACTTAATCATTTTAGGAAGGTTAGTTAGTTATTACGTTAGCTTTTCATATAAAATTTCACAGAGTTATGTTGCATTTTATTCTGAGTTTGAATATTTTCTTCGCAGTAATATATGGAATTTATATTCTTGTTATCCTCTTTTCGATCTTATTTTAGATGGTGCCGAATCTAGTTCGTATCTTGAAAAATCTTTTAATGAGTGGTTATTCACCCGAACATGATGTCACGGGTATCAGTGATCCTTTCTTGCAGGTCATTTTGTTCACTTACTCTAACTGATGTTTATTTCTACACGTTTAATTTTCGGAGATTCTTTTGTACTAATTTTCTAGCCAGTTATGCTTTTGTAGAATGCCTATATGCAGTAATGTTTTCTTAAATTCAGATTAAGATCTTGAAATTACTGCGTATTTTGGGACGTTATGACGCGAAAGCTAGCGAAGAAATGAACGATATTTTAGCACAGGTTTGTATGAACTTAAAATGGGCCAGCATAATCAATATCTTTGAAGATCGCCACAGTGATGTAAATTTTTTACCGTTTATATTTCTTTTTCTCATTGTTCAAATTAATTGTAGAAGTTAAGGTTGCTACAAATACGGAGACGTCAAAAAATGTTGGTAATGCTATTTTGTATGAAACAGTATTAACAATCATGGAAATACGGAGTGAAAGTGGTCTTCGTGTTCTTGCAGTTAATATCCTTGGAAGATTTTTATTAAATCCAGATAAGGTGATTTTTTATATTATTAACTGATTATAAATATAAAGGTGAAGTGGAAATTTTTGGACCATAATCCATGAGATTGGGAGGTGCTTTACAAATTTTTTTTTTTAGAATATTCGGTATGTTGCACTAAACACCTTGTTAAAAACAGTGTTTGTCGATTATAATGCAGTTCAAAGGCATCGTACAACAGTTGTTGATTGTCTGAAAGATCCAGATGTATCGATCAGAAGGTTTATGAGTTCTACTTTTTATTTTTGTAGCTACTGTAATCAGTTTTGTAAATTTTTTTTATAGACGTGCGATGGAACTTTGTTTTGCATTGATCAACCAAGCAAATATAACAAACATGACAAAAGAAATATTAATATTTTTGGAAACTGCTGATCCAGAATTTAAAGCAGAGTGTGCTTCAAAAATGTATATTGCTGCTGAAAAATATTCACCTAATTATGGCTGGCATCTTGATACGATGATCAAAGTGTTGAAATTAGTAAGCATATTTTATTTTACAGTAACTATGAATTAAGTGTCCTTTTATGCATATTATGGAAAATGAATCTTAAAATTCGAGTCGAAAAGTAATTGAAGACTACATAAAACTTCTTAGAACTGTTCAAAGTTGAATTTTTTTTTTAGGCAGGTAATTATGTGCCCGACGAAGTGGTTTCATGCATGATCCAGCTGATTTCTTCACACGCGGAACTGCAGCATTATGCAGCCGTACAACTTTATCGAGCCGTACAGAGTGATATTGTTAATGCCCAGCCACTATTACAAGTAAGTAATACGGTTGTCTGAAAGTTTAAATGAAAATATAAATATATAATTCTTGGAAAAAAAATTAAATATAAGTATGTAATATGGAATTTTTTCATAGTATAGAAATGACTGATACAGTGGAATCTTGCCCATGATTCTGTTAAGTTTTTAATTATGAATTTTACTGAACTCTGCTTTTAGCAGAAACGTGAATTCAGTTCCACTTGGAACTGATTCGAAAGATGACTATTAAAAAGATTACGTAACTATATAAAAGGAAGTAAATACTCTCCTTTTTTACTTTAAGGTAGCGTTTTGGACAATTGGTGAATTTGGTGATATCATACTGCGATTAAACGATGATGATGTAGTCAAGGTCTACTGTGTCTTTTTTAAAATATGAATACAGTTGTTGGATTTAAGATTACAAAATTTTAAATTTGAAAATCGGAAAGTATGTTTTTCGAACATTTTTAAAGTACTTTTAGTTGGCTTATTCTTTTAGTCGAAGCTATTCTCTTAACTGATTTTTGTTCATAGGTGGAAGAATCGAGTATTATTGATGTCTTTGAACGTATACTACCAAGTAATTTGACAAATACTATAACCAAGTCCTACGCGTTAACTGCCTTAGCAAAATTGGATACAAGATTTAATGAAACAAATAAGTATGTCGTTTTAAAAAATTTGCTCATCTCTTTTGTGCTTCTCTAAAAGAGTAACACATTTCCGATTCTTTGACTTTCCAAGAATTTGGAAGAATCTATAAGCATTGTTTGTGCTTAACTCTTTTTATTTTTTCAAGTATTTATTTTCTGAAGTAACACTTGAATTTTCGATTGCAGTCGGATTCGTCAGATGATCGAGTCGAACAAGGGGCATCTCCATCTCGAACTTCAGCAGCGATCAGTTGAATTTTCTCGATTGTTGAATTATGGGGAATTGAAGTAAATTTTTCCTCATTTTTTCTTTTATATGTAAATATTACTTGAACCAATGTATTTATTAAACAATTTGAGGCAAACCTGGTATATTCATGCAAAGCTATTTCATATATTTAGAATATCGTAAAAACATTTCGGTGCCCTAAACATTTCTAATTTTGCTGTTTATTAAGCATCAGTTGAATCCGAAAATGCAAGATGGGGAATTTCGAGCATAACATAATCAATAAGATATTGTCTCTGTTTAACTCCTTATGTAGATTTGGTCTTTTGGAAAGGATGCCTATTATTACACACAACATACTGAATGCAGCTGCTCAACCAATTGAAAAGGATGCTTCTATAAATGAAGGTTTTACAACTGAAAGCAAGTCAGAAATCAACAATTTATTGGGAGATCTTGAAGCACCACCATTACTAGATTCTTCAGAACAAGAGGTATTTTATAAATTTTTTTTTCTTTTCGCATTGTCGATGGATTTTTTTGAATTTTTGATGTCCATGTAATCAATTTTAGAAAGCGGAGGCTTCGAATTTGTTTGATTTAATGAATCTGGATTCAAACGTTAATGGTCTAATACCTGCAGAATTTATGAATGGCACTAAAGTGATTGATTTGATGGATGGTATTTTTGTTTCTATAATTGAAGCGGGTGTTTAACATGGATTAAATTATTCCTATTAATGCTATAATCTGAATTAAAAAGTTCAATCACAGCTTTTCTACATTATTCTTAGCTTCCTCCTCCTTCTTTTGTCTATTCATTGTTGCTTTGAAGTATCCACTGACTTTTAAATCTCTATGAAAGATACAGAATTCCTTTAACTTAAATTCTCTTCTACCTTTTTGTTTATAGGTTTAATAAATAATCCTTCAACAAATAAAATATCTTCAAAACCAACAACGTCGATATTGAACGATTTGGACTCTTTTGATTTATTTATGATGTATGTTTCCTTTCCTGCGATGTTTTGAAATGTTTTATTTGTATCAACATATTACGAATTTTTAAGACTTCCTAAATCCATGATACAGGGATACAACTGGAAAAGCTTCACAGCCTTCAACGATGGCAATTAATACGAATGGTATCGAAGGAGTTCTTTATGTCGACAGTGCTTTCAATGAGAATAGTGTGGCAGCATTGAGACTTCTTATAACTAACAATAACCCCTTACCTGTTGAAGCTTTCAACTTTCAAGCAGCTGTTACTAAGGTTTTTCCAACATTTTTATTTTTTTATGTATGATGAGCTGTTATTAATGTAGCGGAAATTAATTATAATTAATTAAATCTAAAATTTCAGTAATAATTCTCATCTCTTTTCTTCCTCCAGATTTTATGGCTTATTTCATAAATTTTATTTAATCTTTCACTTATTTATTTCATTTCTATGTTCGGGTAACTGTTCGCCTAAGAGTCGTGCGTTTTCATGAGCATATTAATAAAACTAATGAAGGGCATTTTTATTAATTAAGGATTTGTTTTTCTTCTATTGCTTTCTTCTCCAGACATTATATACTATTGCATACGTGACTTTTAGGCATTTCAAATAGAGTTATTGCCTCCATCTAGTTCAAACTTACCGGCCAATCGACAGGGCACGATCATACAGATGATGAACATTAGAAGGATATCATCTACTCATCCAGTAAATACTTTTGTTACAAAGGATCATTTGATTAAACTCAAATTATAGGAATTCATTTGTGGCTCATCTTTTCCAGACTTAAATCTTTTTATATTTTTTATCACTGCGAACAACGTTTTTAGTATTTGTGCTCCTAACTGTATTTTGTCTTTTTTTTTTCAGCTGAAAATGAGAATAAAGGCATTTTATAATATCGATGGGCGACAGCAGTTGATAGAGTGTCTGGTACCAAAAATTGAAGGATTAAGCTGATATGAAATTATGCCGTTATCTTTGTGTTATATGGTATTTTTTTAGCTACGAATACTACATTTAGGTATATTGGCAATTTGATTAAATTTTATTTCAATAATGTCTATAGTTCAAACAAGTGGATGGCTATATATGTAATATTAAATTATTATATGTGATAAGCTATAGTAATATGAATAATGTCGTTAATAACTCTATGTGATAAATAATATTAGAATCATTCCCTTCAATATCAATATATCGGAAGATCTGTGCATTTGGGATTTGTATAGTATATCTTTTTAGTTGTTAGTGGAAATGTTATTTATTTCTGTTTTCATTATTCCCCATCTGATCAAATTTTATAAGAACTTCATAGGAAAAGATTATATTTTAGAAGTTTCTTATGAAGGGAAGTAAAGAATTATTTCATACTTGATAGCACTCTATCTATTCTCTTCCTTACTAGACATGATAATTGCTGAAATTGTCTTCTCAAAATATTTTGGATTCTTATAGGGAGGCTCTTGGTCTCAGTTAATTTGGCTCTTATTTACCTCTGGCAATAAAATCAGGTGATAACATAACTTTTGTTCTGTCTTGGTTTGCTAACTTTTCAGAGAAGTAATATACTCTTTAATGATCCTATCAATTACATTTATTTACTTTGCTCTTCGTTAGGTATTAAATAAGTCGAAATGATGGGTAGTGCTGAAATGTACAAGTTGCTCACTTAATTCAATCTGTTTCGTACAGATGGACTTTCTCAGTCTTGATCTTTCACTTGTTCAATAAAGAATAAGAGCTTACTTGTTTTCAAAAGTGTAACACTGAAAAAACTTGTAACTATCACAACGTGTGCTGGATAAAATTTCAGGCTAATCTGGGCGCATCGATTGTCCATATTTTCAAAGGACAGCTTACAAACAATTTCAACGTTTGTGATATGTGTAGGTTTTTTATTTGTTACCACTGTTAGTTTTATTGCCTGAATTTATTCATTTCTTTGAATTTCTATGTTCGGGTGTATCAATTTGAAAATATGATTGAGCTTTTAATAGCCATTTTTCCCACTTATTTCAAATGTTTTAAATTGAAATAACTCCGAGTCGAAGTTATTATCGTCACTTTTTGATGTGTATTTTGTTCATTCCCTTAGTAGTTTGTGCAGCGTGAACGGAAAGTACTAAAATCAAAGAACAAAAGATTGTTATTCATTGTTGGATAGATGTATCTGGAGCTTTAATATTGAGGCATGCATGTCACTTCAAGTTTCATGATTTATGAACAGCGAAGTCTTGCTTCATAGTGTTTCATGCACTGGTCAGCTTTAGATATTCTCAGTTCCAAGTACTGCTCCTTATGCACATTCTTTGGTTGCTCTGGTTTGATATATTCCTACATGGAGTGCCGTGATGTAAAATGGTTGAAGAAAGTAATAAGGTGGGAATCGATGAATTCTTTTACAAACTTTCCAAAATTTTCGATTAGCCACAACTAGAAGTGGTTAATAATAAACAACGTCAGAGAAAAAAAAAGTGACTTTCTGAAAACATCTAAGGCTGATGTTGTATTCATGTGTTTTTTATCACTTTGATTTTTTATCATTTGTTTTGATATTTTTTGATATCGTGATTATATTTCACTTCCATACCTTGTCTACCGGTGATCAAAATGTTACTATGGTTGAGATTTGATCTATAATTTTAAAACCTAATTGGGAAAAACCCATATGAATGAGATTAGTATTAGGTTATCGTTCCAAGGTTTGGTATATTCTCGATAACTTCATGTCTTAATTTCTACGTCATTTCTTTCCTCATATTCTAGTACTTTCCATTTTCTTATTGGATTTCCTTGGGATGAAATATATGTTTTTGCATTGGCGCTGACAGAACTGTGAACAAGGATTAATAAGGTCTTATCTATTATGCTTAGTACCACAATACCAGTGAAAGTTCGCATTCTTTTCGTATGTGTTTCTACGTGATTTCACGAATAAAAAGGTCGGGTGTGACATATGAAGTGGTTCTTAGCTTTTAATTTCTATCGAAGAGCTCGGTGTTCAGGTGCTTAATTCTCTGGGTATCTTCTATTTCAGACCCACTTCAATTTGACGAATTTCGGGCCGGGTAAAGTTTAGAACAATGTGTTTACTGGCATTTGGGCTACCCTGATACTTTGATTTCCGCACTGATGTTTTACGGTTCTTGTCTACTGATGAGGTGCTGCAAATGATCAGAAGCGTCAATGTTTGACTGTTCAGAGTTTTTTTTTTTTTTTTTTTTAATCATGGAAACAATAAACATGGTTTTCTTGAAGATATGTAGGTGATAATTTGAGATCATTATTTAGAATGAGGATTGTCTAAATGATTAGACAATACAAGAGGCACTGCGAAATATGACCGGTGCGGGTAGTAATGAAGTGTGGAGTGTGCAGTTGGTGAGTTCAGCCACAAATACGGTTGGTTCGTACGTGGTAATAAAGTTCCAGATGAAATTCAGGTACCCTTTAGTCGACTGTCAATTCGACATATTTGTCAATCACTGCATTTCATCTCTTGGTTCAAGAGTATTAGCAGAAAGGAAGCGCTTCCTATTAACTTTTTGGAACCTCTAACATATATTGTGGATAAACTCATAAACTTTTCTATGGTTTGCTTTAAAGTGAGAAAATCTGCATTCTAAAACACTGTTCTTGAAAAAACCGATCTAAAAATATACTCAGTCTTAGCTCTTCTGAAATTGGTCAATATATCTATTTCAATTTTTTCATTTTCAAGTTCCAGTTTTTCATTTACTTATGTGAAGCACCTATTGATATGCTGCGGATTTAATTGGTAAATAGCGTAAATAGCTTAGGAGTTCCTTGTAGAACAATTGGTTCTGAATGAATTGGTCGTGATTTTCGTGATGCTTCTGCAAATTTGGACTTCATCCTGGTATTACTGAACAGGAAATTGGTATCGTAAAAGCTAATCATGTTAATCCCAGTTGGGAAAACAATTCGCCAAAACAAATGCAGTTTAAAATTCTAATTGCCTTGTTCAGTTTATTAATTAGAAACTTATGAGCTTCTCATGTACTAACATTTTTGAAGTGTTTGAAGGGATTTTTTACAGTTCATTCTAACGCCATGTCAAAACAAAAAAGGAAAGAATTTGTGGGAAGCGGTCTATCAGAAAGTTTTATGTGTTTGCTCATCAATATCTTCTGGACGTGAAGAGCTTACTTCGTGGGATTTTTCGTTTTTTCCAGATAAACTCACCTACAGGTTCAGAAACATATAATTTCATTTCTTTGACATAAACTCTTTATATATTATGAGTGAATTTTTATTGGGGTAAATGTTTTCATTTCGTATTTACCACTTAAATTCATTTCAATGAAGAAGGCAGTTTTATGTTCAACTCTAGAGGACTATATCCTCGTTCTTGGATATATTATTCAATTCTGGAGTTTAATTTCATTTTATGCTTTCGACAAGTCTCACCAGTCATACCGAATAATTATGAGATAACTCTTTATATATACAAAGACTTATTTCAGGATAGCTCATCGCCAATCACTCTTTTCATAACTGATGCTGAGAATTAGCCTAATGTTGATTGCTACTGTTACATTTACATTTCGGATGTAAAAAATGGTGCAGTGAAAATGTTTGTAAATCGGATATTTTTGAAGAGAATGATGGGTCGTCGCTAGGTTAATCGTTAATTTAAATTTTAAAAATCTTTGAATACAAAGTGAAAAGTGAGCAAACACTACAGTGAAAGGAATGTATCTTAAGCATATAATAAATTACATGCAATCTACCTATTCGATTGGTGTATTGACTCGTAATACTTTGCATGCTTCTTGCTGTACCAGATTTGATCCCTGCGGCACTGGTGATGATATTTGGATTCCCTTATTGATAAAAGGAAATTTTGAAAAAAAATTAATGAAAAGTTCTAAGAAATCTTTTACTTATTATAATGACAACTGTAAGAACTGTAAGAATGATTGACTTTTGACACTATTACTGTTATTTCCTTAGCGGTTGGTTGTTTAATCATTTTTGGCAAAGATACACAAGAAAAAGTTAAATCCTTAATACTTCATTCTTGTTTAGTACAAAAGACAGCGATCTTTTCACTTTAATGGATGCTTGTGTTAACTTCTGCTTTTGCAGATGAAAATGCCGTTCAACAACAGCTTGGTATTGCTGTTTCAGTTGAAACGTTAATCACTGCAAAGACAAAAGTCACTAGTTGTATGGAATATGTTCTAGTTTGTATGGAATATGTCCTATTGTGTAGTTTGGCTGAATTTGTCATGTGTTATATCTTTTCAGGCGATATACTCGGATTTTTGGTGATCAGGGACATGCTTTACCAACTATATGTGCTTATTCACTAACTAGATAGAGAGAATGGGATCCTTAAAGGATAAATTAGGAAACAGTCAGAATCATTATTAATAGAATAGCGCAATGTGAGATGTACAACAATAATAAATGAGTTGAAAATTATTGCAAATAAATGCAGTGAGTCTGCGATTGGAAATGTTTGCGATTAGAAAATGCTTTTGTAAGTAAAACAGCAGTGCCAAATGGAAAATTGAATGGGTTTCTGAAATTCAGCTGGGTCAGGTAACTTTCCCATAAGACTTTAAACAGAAAAATTGCAGAGGATTTCATGAAATGCCACGGAAATAGAATATATTGAAACATTACAATAATTTGTGCTTCTACAAATGTCTCCCACTTAATTGATTTGTTGCATTAACTGGAATTTAATGAATGTTACAGTGTCTGAGGTAATTCATCTTTCAGCTATTTCTCATCCTTGTTTCCAGTTACTATGCTCATCTTTAGTGATTTAATTATTAGGAACCAATTCACATATAAATATTTTCGGTTTGGTAATTAATATTCATTAGTAATGAACTATTCCTCTACGCAACTCATCCACAGGATTTTATCATACTATGCTTGTTGTAAACCAATCCGATACAAAAACTATTATCATTGCATTACGCAATTCCGCCGGATAGCAAATCTGTCACCACTTCTTTCATTCGGTTAGTATGACTACTGGGATTTCTTTCACGGTACCAATTGCTAAGGACCTATTATTCAACTTCTAAGATTGATTCGACCATAGCATTACTTGAGATTGCCCTATAACATCTACTGACATTAAATCCTTTGTTAACCAGTAAACTTCAGACTACTTGTCTGTAATATAATTGTCTGTAATATAACACAAAGTAAGAGTTTTTTGAACCTTTAGCGGTGATCCAAAAGCATGGTTGTTGCAAATTTCGAATATTACGAAACACAAATTAAAATAATTTCATGTAAGAATCAATGGTATGAATTGTATCTAAATATTGTCAAGATAAACAATATTATGAATCATTTAATCAATTTCTCATCCCTTGTTCAGCCATTTGCTCATGCGTTTTTTTTTGCTTATGTTGATCAAACTAATTTCCCATCTTTTTTTTTGTTCATTACCATCCTTAATGGCTAGAAAGTGAATTATTTAATGTCCTGCATAAAAAGAGGATCTCCAATAGTGTTAGAAATATTGCTTTTAATATACTAACATGTCATCAATGACTTTAATATACCAAAAAAAAAGAGAGAAGTGATAATACTATAACAATAAGCTAAGGAGAAACTTCAGCCTTGGTCACAATAAAACTACCCAAATTAATGGTCTTCAGCAAACCACAAATTCAAAGAAAATTATTAACGATAATAAGAATAAAGGATCATTTGCATTCCGTAACAAAGATCATTGGGATCATAAGTTCAACAGCAAATGGAATGTTTGAGAAAAAATAACGCATACTTCAATTGTCTTCAAAAGAACATGCAACAAATAATTATAACAGAAAGAAGCTATTACATTTTAATTGCAAAAGTTGCACAAAACTGCACTGTGTTGCGTGAAATACGATGTACAAATCTACTGGATCAAAAAAAAAGAAAACTGACCTATTATAATTAATTCAATAACTTAATTAGCAGATCAAAAAGATGAGTTTTACTTTTCTATAAAGAGACCAAAATAGTTAACTCAAAGTAACAGAAATTCAAGAATTTCTAACTTTATTTGATACTGGCTCATAATTATCCTTTATATCGAAGAAATTAGCAAATGAATTAAAGTTCGAAGAAATCAAAAGAGAAATTTAAAAAATTTCCTCTTTTGGTAACAAAATTCCGAAGTCTGTCGGATTGCCAAACTAGAAATCAGAGTAAGAACCTTGAAAACAAGAATCACAATTCTTAAAGCTTTTGTGTTACATTATTTAACAGATAAACTATAAACAGTTAGATCGAATTATGTAATTTGTCACTTAAAATATTCCGAGAACAGTCTATGAGAAAGGAGAATATTGAAAATAGCCCGATATATTTACTTAACCTGTCTGACTTCATTCAGCCAAATGAAATTCATAACACCGTATCAGAATTCTGCTTGATTCTCACAAAAATTGGTCTTATGATAGGTAGAAGTGAACGGATAATTTTTTTTTTTTTTTTGGTAGTTTTAGCAAAAAACTGATCCATACCAAACTAGATATAGCTCCTAAAAAAGTTAAATCGATAAAAATGGCTGATATTATTTTTTAAATAGGGATCGATTCTACAAATTAGAATTCATAAGCAGATAGGAACAATCTAATTCATGATCTTAAACAGACACTAGAACGATTTAAATATCAAATCTATTCGCCATGGGAACAAAAATCAAGTTGAGAACTATTGTGGTCTATGCTTTGCTCATTTAAAATCGTTAATGAAACTACTTTAGGAAGAAAAATACCTAACTACTTCAACACTATATAATTAAGTTGTAATAAATTACAATCCAATACAACTGAAAAGATATACTGAAATGGACGAAGTTGGTACCATTCACTATTTACCTCACTATGAAGTAACAACTTTTGTGAAAAGCCACAGCAAAATTAAGAATCGTTTAAGACTCTTCAGTTCACCTTGCATCGTGGAAAATTTTAAAAATTTTGTTATTTTTAAGTGAGGATTACTGATATCGGGGGGGATTCGTTGGATGTTAATATCTGGGAGTAGATGTTAATAATAAGAATTCCTTTATCAATAGAAGCAACAATACAATAAATTTGGTAGAGAAGAACTGAAGTACAATAGCGAAAATCCTTTTTTGTGGTCGAACTGCCCCTTAGTTCAACTCTCCTGGTTCTTGGTAAAAACACTGAACATGAGTGACCTTCTTATATAGATAGCAAGGATATATATATACAAAATACATGACTTATAATAAGTTAACCTGCCGAAAGAGTAATCGATCTAACAAAGAGCCGTTGACCTGGTTTACAAGTAAATCTAACAAGCCGCAAAGTACATCAGTTAAGCAAAAGTTATTAACCTCGTAGATTCAAGCATAATTTACATTTAACAGCGATAAAATAATGAGGTCAACTAAATTAGTTGATATCATGTAAACAATGTTGTATGAAAGGTTTACAGCCTAAACATAAGATTGGGAACGAAGTTTAAGGTATAAACATTATTTTGCAAATTCATAGAATATATTTCTTATTCATATTTCCTTGTTCCGTATAATATTTTAGAGTTCCAAGATATTAAAATCTGCGACACCTTGAATTATCAACGATATACTATGTCGCAGGACCGATTATTCTCCCAGGATGACGAAAATCTTGATAACGATATTTTTTTAAAAAAAGGATTTGAAAAGGCACTTTTGCAGCTGAAACCGCCTCCGCCAGAATGAAACTATACTCAAGTTTTTTGGTTAACGAATATTTAAGGACAATTAACCGAAAACAATATAGTATGTTAATGTTCTCAAAGAGTTTCATTTAAAATGATATCATCTTAACCGTCATCCAGAAATTTATGAAAGCGAAATTGCCTTAGATCAATTATCAACTAAAGGAACTGAAGAAGCACTCAACATAATTATAAATAAATCTACTTTTAAAAAAGCTTAATAAACGCAAGAGAATTTCTTTCAAATGAGAAAGAAATCATTACAAGTATCGAGAAGAGGTAAATCAATTTAAGAAAATCCTTGGTGTTAACTAGAGTCCCAAAAGTTTTTCCCAAAATGTTTCATCTAAAAACCATAGAATGAAAGAGGTCTAACAAAAAGAACAATCTACCACTTATAATGTCTCAATATAATACATTCAGATTCTTCATTTCAATTATGATACAATTCAAATTATTTCTTCAAAATTTGTGAAAAAATTCTTGAAATCCGTCCATAAGCAAAGAAGGTAAAGATACATAGGAATCTTAAACAAGTGAACGGACCAGCAAGCGTAAAGGAATTACTGCGATTTGCAATATACTTCGAAACAAATGCAACACCATGTCTTCACAGATGTATCAAGTGTTTTGTATTAGCTTATTTGAAGTCATATATACAAGTTTGTAAAATGATTTGGTGTTGTCTATGGGCGAAATCATATATATATATATATATATATATACAGATTTCTAAAATGAAAAAAAAAAAGTTTCATGCAGAAATGAGTTGCACTAGTTTTGTTATGCACTGAAAATGATTG